TTGACTTTCATTTGTCCTCCACTATCCTCTTCAGGCAATATCTCTTGCCATTGTTCGATTAATATTTTCGCTCCAAACCTCTCTTTTAAACTGTCCTTGCTAAATCCTTAAGTCGGCCTCGTGCTTACTATATTTCTTAGAAAGAGGATGTCCACAGCTTCCCTGATAATTCGTCCTTGTACATTTTTCTCATGTGGAGCCAGTCTTATCGTTGATCTTTAATCAATGCATTCTGCTGTATATGATCTTCTGTAAGAACGGTTCTGTAGAGTGGCTGGTAACGCTTGATTCTTGTGTGGCATGTCCTCCCCGTCGCTCCAATCTACCTTCGTTCTCAACCCTTGCAGTTGGTTCCGTAAATTTCGGTGCACTCCACTCTGTTGACTTTTCATGCTTGCGAAGAGCATCGTCCTTTCTTTCAGAAGAGTAACAGCCTTCCAGTTCATTTCCAGCGGCCGCAGCTTCCTGGCCAGTCAGCTTTCCATTGTCTCCATTGCCCATCTTCTCATTTGCTCATCGTGACCCGTGCATTTCTTTTACTTATTTTCGTTGGATATTCGTTCGCATAAAACGTAAAATCAGTTTGTTCGGCTCATCCTAGCATTAGTTAATGACGGTTAGTCTTATGCTAATTAAGCTCATACTACTGACTATTACTCAGTAAACGTGTAGAGCCTTGAAAGTTAGCATCAATCTTGCATGTCGTTTCGTTTGGAAAACGATTTTCTCAAGCTGCTCTTCTGAGTCAATGGTCTCCACATCCGTGAACAACAACTGCTCTTTCTCATTCATCTCGACTTTTACATCGGATGAACAAACTGATCCATCTTTATCAGCTGTACCACCATCATGCCAAGTCGTCCTCCACGTATCACAGAATAGTATTCGCTGTTGCCAACTGGTTCACGCAAACATTGGCCATAAGAGCGTTGAACCCATAAGCAGATAAAATGTCTATCATAGATTCGCGAGTTGAACATGAAATACGTAGTTCCTATCGTCGAGCTGACTAGTCGATTTGAAGACTATTTCCTGCAGCATGAGGTATTCTTTTTGTCGTCTGGTTGCCTATTGACTGATTTACCCGAGCTGGGGTCAGCTTAGTTCACTTTGGGTCAGGCAAGCGAATTTAATTGTCTTTTAAGCATTGCCATGATAGGAAGGTCGTGAGATTTCGTTTAACTTTACTCCCGCAGAATGCTAGCCGCGTCGAGCACGCTCGTGTCTCATTTCCATCCTCGCGGGGATTGAAAAGGAAGAATGCTGGATTTAGGCTGAACTTTACAGCCTCCCATTCATTCTCAAGCATTCCTGCTGTACGGCTGAGGGGTAACACTCTACTTCTTCGTGAGAACGGGTGCATGTCGAATAGAGGCGTGAATGCTGAGGAGCGCTATACGAGGTCGAAAGACAGTCCAGCCCAGATGGGTAAGCTTGTGAGGAAGCTGGTTAACTAAAAGCGAGTAAATTGCTGGCTTGGTAATTATGGCATTGTAGAAAACGGACAGGTCAGGACATCAAATACCAATCATAATTGAAAGTGTCCTTACTTCTCATAGGGGTGGTACGGATGTAATTAAATGTTGCCAATTTAGAACTACGTTTATTTTTCCGTTGCCAGCAGAACATTTGTCTTTTTATCCATCAATCGAGGGTGAAAATCAGATTATATGCTGCAAGTCTCAATGCAATTGTTGGCAAATATTTCATGGCAAGGAAGCTCGGAATTAGATCGACTCGCATCACTCGGTTGGAAGGAGAGCAAATTGCGAAAGAGTATACAACACTACTAATTAAGGTAAGAGTAAATGTGGCTGCGGTTCAAATCGTCAGCAAGAGATCCGTATCCAGACGACAAAACACATATTCTTCACCATTTTGCAATTGGTTACAAGAACTGAAACATCTTTCGCTGGTAGCCTTTGGTCACACTGACTGAACGGATATGATATCCTATTCGTGAGCAGTGCAAGTGGGCAAGAGGTATGTTCTTCAGCTGAATAAAGATCAGGAAGATCAACCTGATAGGCTCGCTTTTGACTTGCCTCTGCAGAAATCATGCTCTAATCGTCTCGATTATGCTCTGTATCTGACTCCCCCAAACTCACTTTCCAAAGCCGACAAGAAAACAGTGCATCTGAGCAGAAATCGGAATAGTTAGCAAACTCGCACTTAAACAATGGCGGGGATTAGGAAATAGTTGCTACTTCGAACTGATGCATTCAGTACTCGACTGTGTTTAAGTGTCATTTTACGCAGACAAGCTCATATTCAACTAGCCTCATGCTGATTTACAGATCGCACAGTTTATCAGCTTACGTGTTATCGTAATTTTCATCATGCATATATATTGGCATCTATTTATTTATTCTAATATGTGTTTATTATTTTTAGAGATTTATTCACCTATCAAGGCCCGAATTGTTCAATTAAACACAAATGTTGTAGAGACGCGATCCTTCGAGGTCCGCGTGTATCCAATTAAATGTCAATTCCACTTTGTACTCTCCGGCAAGACCTTACGAGACTATCAGTTTTGGCCTCTTCTCGGTCTTCTTAGCACCCCCGGTGGGATTCGAGACAAGACAGTGCACTCGAAGCCACTATCGTTGCGCCACACTGTCACGAGGGACAGCGGGAGAACGTTTCGCAAATAACATTCAACGGTGAATTGTAGACTAAACACACTTTTATTTGTAGGCGCTGTGGCCGGCAGTGTGGTCGCATTTGGTTGTGCAGAAATCGTTGACCCTTGTGTTCGCAGCGTGGTTGTATTGTCAAGGTGGCCTAAAGAAACACATCTCGTCCAGACTCTTTGGAATGCATGCTACGTTTCTGGGTCTTACCGTCGGATTGCTGTATCGACAGACGGTTCGCCGGTACCGCAGTCGGCATCGTCAGTGATAAATGCCAGTCTCACTTAGCAGCAAACCACAGCTCGTCACAGGGACGAGAGAAGTCGATCATTTGACCAACTATTTTCGGAACTATTGTGGTGGCACTTTGTCTTTAATTGGCACAACTCGGAGCGATACAATCACGTTAGTGACAATTGGAAATAATCAAATGTCACGATGGATGTACAAGTGTTTTCGGTGTTCGGCTGTAATCGGTGCATTGTTAGGCCATGCCATTTCGAGAGTGCAATCTAAGATGTGAAGCAAGCGGTGTATGGAAATATAAGTAAATAGAATTGAAGGAGAAATGGCCATTTGGACATAGTCAAAGAAATACTTTATCACAACTGACATACAGAAATTTGAGGATACTTCTGAGATTTAGAGGCGTAAGCTATTTAAGTTCATAAAAATTAAGTCAAGATCCAGTCGGGTTCTAGTCAGAATTCGCATTCCCAAAGTGGCAAATGGTCCGGCATTTAATAAATTGGAGGCATGACAAGAAGTAGCTTCAATTTGGGGCAATAATACAGCGCAGGATCCGGTCAACTGGACCAAACTATGATGTTTCAGTGTTGCCACCATCCACTGCTCCAAACGATGATGGTGATAAAGTAGTGCACGCTTGGTTCCGAAATTATGGATCTCCTGGACAAGAGAGTAACTGTTTCCACCATTAACAAAGTAAATGTTCTAGAAGATACTTATGCAGGAGTTGTGCAAATCTCAGAGTTAAATCGAGAAGAGATCAAAGGGGGGAAGGAAATGGGATTACGCCTGAGAATCTTGGCACGTAACGAGTGAGTAAAGAGGATATGATTGAAGAGGATAAACAGGAAAGTACAAAGAAATGCGAATATGCATGGAGAGACGGTGAAAATGAACAAAACACTGGAAAGTGTACTAGGCTTATCAAATGAGCAGAGAGGATCCAGCCATAACGATGAACAGGATAGTGAAGGATATGCTGAATGAAGTGCATGCTACCGGACAAGTGGCAGGTGGAAGGTGAATTCTTAAGCAAATATGACGCAGGATCACCGACAGCCTACGGACTAACGAAAATGCACGAAATTCATATGCTTTCAGATAAAGGAATTAACTTCTAGATTCTTGAAGACCGTGAAGAAGACATATTACTTTTGTCAAAGAACTGGCGGGGACGGAACTGAGGGTGCGTTTTGACGCAAAGTACATATACACAAACATTTCAGTCGAGAAAGTGGTCACGGCTTTGCTAAAGATCTTAGAACGAGAGGAGGATAACATAAAACCAGAGCGGAAATGGTAGGAGTCGTTAACAAGACTGATCGACCTGACGGCACGGACACTCTAGTTGACACCAAATGGAATAATCAAGGAGTAAACATTTGTACTGCCAATGGTAACTCCACTCTCACATCTTCTGACAAATGTACAGATGAACAAATGAGAAAAGTAATTCAAGGAGTCATCGTTACAGAAAAAAGCGCTGATGCATAAAATAGATGTCTACACTGAAACTTGGTCGGAGGGTATGAAATATTTAGAGGAATTCCCTACATTTACGTGGGAATTAAATTGGCAATGGACGTAAAGGAGGTGGAGGCGGAGGAGGAGGAGTTCTCAATCGAGGGGTGGAACAAACTGACTCGAATTGTCCTCAAGTATGGGTAATAGAAAGAATTAATGACACGACAGATAATGGCCAGAAAGAGCAGATGTCAATTTGGTATATTATGACAATGATACCAAGAATGGCGAGGACGACCGTAAGTGGGTATACCTGCCCTTGTGTGAAGCAAGCTAGAATTATGACCATTTCGAAACAAATGGACTAAGCAGTCTTTGCCGAAAGAGCAGCCAACACTCTTGAACTGCCTTCCGAGGAATACGGAAAGAGTGACAAACTGTACTGACGAGAGTTGATGGCATAGCATGTGGCAACTGTTGGCAGAAGTGAATTGGTGAAACAGGAAGAAAGATCAGCCT